TAAAACTACCAACTATTACATTTGTGATATAATCAGAGAAAGAAATCGAGGTATAGAATGTTTTTTTAGCAGTTAAATTACCCCAAAATTTAACACTAACCTAACAAATGGTAACTCTGCCATCTAGTTATCAATAATCAATGTTTAAAGAGTAGTTTTATATAAACACACAGAGGAATGTTGGAAACTGCCTCAAGTTTTCTCCCTTCTGAGCTCCCAAAGAACCTGAAATCCTTTTAAACGGGTTTTGATCAACATTTTTTTTAGCGGCCTTTAAGATTAAACCTTTAAAATGTAACTTATTATTGACTCAATTAAAGGAGGTTTAAATTTGATCGTTTGGAGATAAAATTGTGGTGAAATCCTATTTGATCTGTTTTGGACTAATGCTAGAGATGAAAACAGAAACCAGATCATGTTTTGTTTTGTTTTTTTGTGACAAGCTGCTGATAATAAAGTGCATAAAAAATACTTTGCTTCTGTTAAAAGTTTCTGTAACTCTTTGGTTAATTTTATATGAGTCAGTTTATTTCATACCTTTTTTTTGTTGACTTTTGTTCCCTGTTTTAGTAAAATTACTTTATCAAGCCTTTTCTAACATTCAACAGTATAAAATCAGTGATCAAAGTATATTTGATGTCGTTTCAGGTCAATATCTCTATCAGCCAATTCTCAATCTGCATTATCTGTATCACATATAATCTCGTGGCATTTTATTTACAAGGAAAATTCAACCAAATCACACAGATTAGTTAAAAGTTTTCTAAGTAAAATCAGCTGATTTTATCCAGTCACTGACTGATTGCTCTTTCTGAATCAGCTAAATAAAACACTGTAATAAACATTTTGGTCTGTTCTGTTTATTCGCCACATTCTTTCTTTCTGCAAATACATTTCTAACTTTCTATATAATAACTTAAAGTGTTAATTGATCATGTTTTTTTTTTTTTTTCTTTAAATTTAATCTCTTTTTGGTCAGTTAACTATAAAAACCCTGCTTTGAGGTTAGATAAGGTCCACAACAATCATCTCTAATGTTTAGACTCATTTGCCAAGAGGTTTTCTCAACAATGGGGTCGTTCATGCATTTAATGATGCACAACCCTCAGAGCTGATGACCAACATATAAAGAGTTCAGATGAGGTAAAGAAACGGACAATGTGTCTAATAATAATATTCCTAGCCTCCAATCTTTTTACTTTTTGTTAGATTTTAAAACCAGAGAATTCAGTATATTTTTCTGAGATTTGAATACAGACCAACAGGAAGTGGTGCATATTTGGAAAGTGGTTTCTAATTGGTAGAAATATGGAAATTGTCCTACTTGGTCAGTTGTTTATAGAAACATATTTCCTAAATCTGTTTTCTGAACTCCTATTCTTATCTATATATATGTTTCCAGTATTTTTATTCTCATTACACCGTCACAAGTACAGAGCAACGACTTTCACTCACTGCATTTAACCAATCCCCTATGGGGAGCAGTGTGGGGTGAAGGGTCTTGCTCAGAGAGCCAGAGTGGCAGACTGTGGGAGTGGGTTTCAAACTCACAACCTCAGGTTCCAAGCCCTATTCCCTCACCACTAGGCTGCTGCTCATGTAGTGCAGTAGCTCTGAGGATTACTGTCATATTAGAACCACGACTACAATGTTTCACTGACGCTTTAGGAGACGGATTTACAAAGAGTCTACCCAAATGGTGAAGGAAAAAAAAAAATTTAAAGTTATATTTTTTGTAGCATATATATATATTTTTTTAAATGTAGAAGATTTTGTTGGTTTTACAGGTTGAAATCTTTTAGGTTTTGTGTGGGGAGTGGCTGCCTAGTGTTTAGGGCATTGCACTTTAAATACTCAGGTTCTGAGTTAAAGCTCAGACTGCCACTGTGGGTCCCTGAGCAAGACCCTTAACCCCCCCACTGCTCCCCGCGCGCTGCACAACGGCAGCCCACTGCTCTCCAAGGGGATGGGTTAAATGCAGAGTGTTTACTGTATTTTGTTGCTTTGTACTTGTGACAGTGTAATGACAAAGTTGAATTCTATTCTTTTTGCACGTTTCAAGAATGAAGTAGAGATTTGTTTCTTGACTTTGACTAGGCCATTTTACCTCATAAATCCACTGGAGCTCCTGTAGTCTGAGCTCCTGTAGTCCTGCTGACAGGTAAACATCCATCCACGCCTCAAAAGTCTTACTTTTATCTAGGGCTGCAACTAGCGATTATTTTGCAAATAGATTAATCTGTTGATTGATTAATAATCAGATAGCCAAGGATATTTTACAAAATTAAACCAGGTGAAACTCAAACTTTTCCACTTCAGTTCTGGAAAGAGCATATTGACTGACAAAAGTGATGTTTTTTCTATATCTTAAATGCTAAATGTTTTTTTTTTTTTTTGCAATTTTGATATAATTAATGCTCTAAGTGGGTCACTCGTCAGCTAAAGGCATGTTTTACAGTCTCTATACTCAATTTAACGATTAATGGATTGCTAAAGTAGTTGACAATTATTTAAATAATCGATAAATCACGATTAATCCAATTAGTTGTTTCAGCTCTACTTTGATCAATTCTCCCACTGACAAGTTTCTCTGTCCCAGCAGAAGAAAAATCTCCCCAGGATAATGCTGCCCACACCATGTTGAATCAAAGGCATGGTTCTTTTTTTTTTTAATCTACATTAGAAACCATCCCGCCCACTTCCACCTGCAGAGGAGTAACACAGAAATTCAGCCATATTTGGTTTATAGCAATTTTGTCTTTTATTCTAATTTCCAATAAACAGAGAGTATATCAGTCCCTTATTTGTACAAAAATACCTGAACAGGATACAATGTAGATCCAGGAGTCTCAGAGACAAAAAATGAAGCAAAGCCATATGAGGGGCGTGAAGGAAAAACAAAACAAAATTTACCATTTTCATTTTCTTTTTTTTTTTCTGGATTCCCTGAAATGTTTATTTTGACTTCAGCTTATTTCGACTCAAACCCGACATTAACACACAATCATTTCAACTTGCATGAACTCTTAAAGTCTCCCAAACTTCAAAGGGACGCGTGGCGGAACGCGACGATCGGACGGATAGCCGTTAGGGACCGTTACCGTGTAGAAAGAGGCACCTGCTGAAAAAAATTAAGAAACAGGATCTAACAACTTATCTATACAGATTAGAAAAGGAGTATATGGATATAAAGAAATGCCAAAAAAAAAAAAAAAATCCTCTCCAGCTACAGCTTATGATTGAACTACAGGTAGTGAAAAAGTATACAAAAAGCTACTAGTGAGATCACCATGGATTCACTGGTAATGTGTGCTCTCCATGTAAACCCCCTCTGTGTGAGTGGAACATCCTAACATTTACTGGAGATGAGATAGAGAAGGGGTGTTTTTTTTTATGTGGCATCAGAGCTGGATACTCTGACAGCCTGTCAGCTTATATGCACTAATGTTCAGAAAAAATATCCAGTTTGATCACAAAAATCAACAGAAAATAAAACCATGAAACTTAATACTGTATATACTGTGGTGCATATGGCAAACATGTCAGCATACATGCAATCAAGTCATTAAAGATAAAAATACATTGATAAATCTGCCTTAGATCTATGACATCACGAGTGAAAGCGCAGCACCCCCATACATAGTGATCTGTGACCTAGGTACAGTGTTAGATCTACTTCTCCGTAGCTTCACATCCTTAGAAAAAAGCCGACACTGGAAGTTTGGATTCTGATAGAAGAAATGAAAATACTTGGGCTTGTGTAAAAGGACTACATGGCAGCACAGTGATAAAGAAAGGCAGCAGGAGACGTGGGTTTGTGTTGCTCCTCTGTGACAGACCGCTACTTCACCAGTAAGGATGCTGGAATGCATTTCTGCAAAAATATACATGCCCCTTAAACTTTTGCGCATTTTTGTCAAACATTTGAAGAAGACCAACCTTCATTTGCTCTGGTAGATTCAACGGCAGCATGTTTCCCAAACAAACAACGTCCTAGTCAAAGCCCAGACCTGGAACTGATTAGGGGGACTCCTCAACATGTTTTTAATATATTTTTTTAGGGGTGTTGGAGTAAAGGTAGGCGATAAACTGTTTGCTATCCGAAAATAAAATGTTTCTAATTCACATATATATTTATGTAAAGAACATTTAGTGTGAATACTTTTCCCTGCACATGATCTCCTTTCTTATTTATCTCCATAGATTCACTTGACCTTAGCCAGCTGACAAGCAGGAGCAAATAGAGCATCAACATGTGTATAAAATCCTAGCTTATCAGCTGGATACAGGTGAGTGAGGCGGCGTGGCGGTTCCAGCGTGGTCCAACCCCTGGAGACAGCGGTGCCAGAGTGGCCTGACCAGTGGAACGCAGCGTTCAGCTGACTGCTGTGGCTTCTATTCTGTTTTTATCGGACTAACTTTTGGTAATTTAATTTTGGGAAACTGAACAATAAGATTGTCTTTTACTTTTAGATATTGCTGGAAAAAAATGGCAGCAATCATGGAAAGTTGGAAGTAAGCAGCAATGGAAACGGTTTTGTTGGATCATGAAATGAATGACAAACTGTCTCAGCTCCTTCTTCCACTTATTTAGAAAATATGAAACCTGTTTCATTATTTATCGTGCTACATTTTATTATAACAGCCTCTCCTCTCACTCTGATGGTGTCCAAATGTTTTATTTATGGTTTATGTCAGAATAGTTGTCCGTCTCTGCTGCCGTTTCTATGTTGATCCCATCGGTTTATAAAAAAAGAAAATATTTCTTATATATAATGGTGCTACAATCAAGGGTACAAAAAATGCCTTTTGGAAAGTAAAACTAACATTTGGTATTTTCTGATAAAAAAAAATATGTATATATATTCTGACTTTATTTTTTTTATTGGGGAAATCAAGCCCTTTTTGATTGTGATTTGAAGGAAATTCAATGTGTGCAAGGAGGTTAAATTCAACAGAGAAAAAGCCCTTTGAATATATGCTGGAAACAGTCTAGACATCCTATGAAGACCCCAGTTTTCTGCCAGCGGAATAAAAAAGGACATAACTTTTATAATCTTTACCGTCTAATAGACCAACAGTCCAGTTACAGCCATCATGGCCAGTTATTAACACTTTATATAACCGCCTTACAGAGAGAGGCATCACTAAACCCTTTCTCCTATAAAGATCCTCTCTTCTTCAGCTCATCCAGTCAGTCTTATCTTTACTCTAGAAACCATTTCTGTATTGATTTATAGGTGCTGGATCAGTATGTTTTTTTTTTCAATGATCTATAAATTTCCTGGAAGATATTTTATTAAAAATGTTTAAAAGTTCAAATGTCCTCTGTCATATTTTACATGCTGTGTTTCTTTTACCATTTTTGTTTTCCCCACCAACCCCCAATTCAAGCTCATCTGCAACCTCATCATTAACACCATGATAGCATTTAGGATATTATTAGTAAAGATTAAAACGTGGCATAATTGGCTTCTTCTCTTGTGTTTCCTGTATGTTTGTATGAATCAGGCAGATGTGAGTCGTCCTGTTTAATGTGACCAGAACCCTTCATCAGGAGGAAAACACTGAGCTGCATAAAGGACTGAAGGATGCTGCAGTAAATTGTTAGGTGATTTCACTGAATTCATCAATTTTATGACGCAAGTCTGTTTAATATGGAAGTCCAAAAGTGCCCAAATTCAGAAAAAAAAAATCATTAAGGAGATTACTTATTATTATAAAATAATTTAATTAAATACAAAAGAGGCACACATTTATTCAAATTTTAATTCAATCAGAAATATATTTTGGTTTAAAAAAAAAGTCTTTATTCTTTTCTTATCAAATGAGTTGAAAGCATCTGGAATTTGTTTTTAAGGTCGGCCACGGCAACATTTAAAGAGCGTTTCAGCACCCTGCAGAAGAAATACTTGAATAAATACTTATTTTAAATACGTTTCACATAAATACTTGTGTATTTTATAAGGGAATTAAATGTTTAAATTATTTTTTGAACAACTTTTATTGTAATAAAATCTAAATTAGTTTAATGGTTCATTTATGACGTTTTGGCACTTTTGGAGATCAACACATGTCAGTTAGGAGTTCTTCAAATCTGGCTTAATGTTAGAATCCATGCAGTGCATGTAAACACGCCCACGTTCACTTGTGCTGCTAAGTTCATGTAATTTACTTCAAAAGTTTCTAACATGTACGTGAATTTGGAGGCTAAAGATAAAGCTGCTAACTTAGCATGGAAAATATCACTGTCTAAAAAAGCTACTGAAAGAAATAGCAGAAATGGAGATAAAATTCAGGACAAAAAAAAAACTTGAATTTTTCGCTCAAAATATTACAGAAGTAACAGAAATGAGATCTGGAAACTTTGTATAAAAAAAAAAAAAAAAAAAAAAACGTGCCTTTTCATTTCTGTGTAACTTAAATATAAGTTTATATCTCAAGAGTAAAATTCAAGCTTTTGTTCAACTTAAATCTCTGATTATTTTAATAAATTTACAAGCGTAAATAAAAAAAAACACGTCCATATCTAGCATACAGCTCTAAAAGTGGCAAAAAATATAGCAAACGAGATAATTTCCCAATATCTAGCTCTATCCCTCAACATACTGGTTCACAGAATCACTCACCATGTCCTTCCAGCCCTCCTCCAATCCCAAACTTCTCACTGTATGTGCATTTTTAGATAGCTTCTTCAATTTCAGACACATGGCTCATCATTTTCACTTAAGGCAAAGTGAAGCTCAGTCGACCACGAACGACCGAGCCCACGTTTCAAGTCATTTGTTCAAATTCCATATTTAAAGTTAAAAAAAAAAACAAAAGAAAGTTACGAGAGTGCTTTTGTTGCTTTGTAGGAGGGAAGAGTGGTGAGAACCCGAACGGGACCGCTCCAACCACCATCAGAATGATTCAAATGTGCAAGCACTGAACTCTGATTAGACTCAGGAAAAATAAAAACATTCAAAGACAGATTCACCCACAAATATAACCCTTTTGATTAAAAAAACAAAAAAAAACAACGAAATGGTAGAAGCTTGGGGGGGGTTGGGGATACTTTTTTAAGGAGTCTATAAAATAGTCTTCCTCCTCTTCCTCAGAGTCTAGAGGAGCTGCAGCTGGTTCAGGAGCACATTCATTCATCGCGGTGGTGCGGGTGTTGGTGCTGCGAGCTACACGGAGGTCTGAGGAGCTTCCCAAAGCCCTCTGATAGGAGCTGCACTATCAGCTGCATCTCTGCTCCCACGCCGCTGTCGTCCAATCAGAGCTGGTGGAATTTCACATGCACGCTTTGCAGAGCGGAGGAGAAAGAGGAGGCAGCTTCATTTAGCTAGAGAGCCGTTGTCTGTCCGCCCAGGAGTGCAAAACTAGTTCTGCATTGAATCGACATGAATAAAACAGCATTAAATGACATCAAGTAATTAACTCTACAAGAGAGGCGTGTTACGGCCTTCCTGATTAAACATTCCTCTGTCCTTTTTTTTTTTTTTTTTCTTTTTAGCAAACCCTCGCCGCTGCTCTGCTCATCGCGCCTTCGGCCGCTTCCTTCCGTTCCGACTGTTGTCCGAGCTGCTGTGGAGGAGACGGGCGCACCAGAAAGGGGGTGTTGTGGATAGGTGTTGAATGGGGGAGGGGGGGCAGCTTATCCAGACTGGACTGCACAGGTTGAGAAACTCCTGGATCCCAGAGGTTCCCGTCCATCCCTGATAATCAGTGAGGAAGTCAGAGGGTGGTGCTCCCTGCCCGCCTCAGGGGTGAGGGGAGCTAGGGTGGGGCGGGCACCACAGCTTATCCGGCCTGGAGGTGGGGGATGGCTGGGGGGAAAGGGGGGGTTTGACGATTCTGAGGCAGGGGTTCATTCAAGACCCTCAACCCTCCAGCTGTAAAGACGTCGCTTTAGTGGTCTTGTGTTCTCACAACTTTTGGTGTTTAACAAATCTACCGGATCTCCAGGAAACATCACAGGAGCTGGACAACGATCGCACAACGCGTCCAAAACCGCCACGAGCTAGGGACCGCCCCGCTCACCTCCCAAAACAAGGGTCTTCCTTTTCTCTCTCTCTCCTTAACCCCACCGAGTTGGTAAAGGGGCATGGGGTGGGGGTGGGGTCGGTGTTGGGGAGAGGGTTTATTTTAATCTGATGTGCAAAAAAAGGGGGGGGGGGCGCTGTGTCGGGTGGGTGAAGTGTCACAAGGCCACAGCGGTGCAGGGGTGTTTGAGCTTGCAGGGCAGCACTCCTCTGTTGAGCTGGTAGAACTCCACCAGGTGGATCAGGTCCGTGAACTTGGTGGCGCCGTCATCCAGGCTGAAGAACACCTGACCGTCCTCCTCAACCTTCAGGAGAAACAACTCAATCTCATTTATTTGTAAAAAAACAACAAAATAAAAAAAAATCAGATAATAATAATTGGATTTAGCTCATTTAAACATGCAGTTCTTCCAATTATGCTAACTGCTAACAAAGCACACTAAAGCAGTTCAAAATCAAGAGTTTATTCTGTGTTAAAGGATAACAATAAAACACAATGGCTGCTCTCTTTCACCCACAGAGTGACACTGGATCTGATGAGGCACTAAAAAGTCAAATATACTAAATTTCTTAATCAATCGCAGTGCTCTAATGTAAATTGATTGAATCTGTTTGAATTATGACTTAAATTTTGATCAGAGGACGGACCTGCAGGAAAGAAAGGCGACCAATCAAATAGAACTCCCATAAAAAAAACATTTGTTCATCTTAAAGTAAAGTAAGCCAACGTTCATCCTGATAGTGTTTGCTTAGTTTTTTTTCCCCCCTGAAAATAATTTTTTGCACCAGGTGCCATCAGCAGATATTGGTTAGACATCGTCTCCATCTGCTGGCCGTACTAATGCACAATTTTCTTTCCTAATTGCCCCCCCATACAGTCACACGTACTCTTTCTCTTAAATTATATAAAATGTCCCTTTTGTCACATTAAAATCATAAAAATATATTCCATCATAAATTGTTGCAACGGACCAAAACAAATGGATGGAAAATATGTGAAAAACCACATTTATACCCATTTTGCGCTATGTCGCCATCAGCTTTGCTGAAATGTTGCCAAATTGTCACTAAATGTATTTAAAATAAGAAGAAAAAACAAAAAGAAAACTACTCCTAGGTCTTAACAGACCAAGATATGCAAATTGATGCCTATTTTACTGATGATGGGACCTCTGAAAGTAATTATTTACAGAGGTGATTCTGAGGATTTTGTTTATATACAGAAGAAGACCAGTATGCACCACTTTAAGCTGATCTTACAAAATAATGAAGTAAGACATTTTGCATTTTCGGAATTCAATATAAAAATGTTCAAATCCATCAAAAACAGACATGTAGAAACGTGCATCTTGGGTTTGCAGCACGTACGATCCACATACGGAGGCCTTTGTCCTCGATGCGGCCGACCCGGGTTCGAATCTGACCTGTGGTGCTTTCCCGCATTTCTCTCCCCCTCTCTCATGCCCCCCTTCCTATCAGCCTATTGTCGAAAAAAACGAGCCACTTGGCCGCAAAAACTCAAAAAAAAAAAATAAAAAATAGACACGTGCATCTTAACATGAAACATCCGAAGCATCGCTGCCGTGTTTCCTGCTTTTCTTTACTGACCGGTAGGATCTGGAAGTGCTTAATCTTCTGGTGGTGGCACAAGGTGAGCACAAACGCCTTGGGGTTACTCTGACTGTCCCGCAACAGGAACAACCTGGCAGGAAAGACAAAATAAATGACAGGAAAAGTTTATTTATTCCATGAGGAGTGGGATTCCCACACAGACCAAACGTGATGCTGCAGAGACGGTGGGAAGATATTAACTGTGATGCTTGGCAGATAATAACAGCATTTTGCTTCCACATGCATTAAAACTAAATATATCAGCCGTTCCCCCACTCACCCGTCCACTTGGCCTTGCTGTATGATCATCTTGTGAGCTTCCTCCCTCATGATACGACCGTGGAACCAGACCTGTGTCCTGTGGATCACTGGAAGGAAAAAAAAAAGATTTGTTTCCCCCTACTGAATAACAATCTACTACAGATATATTTGGTACTGGGATTGAGTTTAGGCTGGCTGGATTATGTTTACATTTCCAGGTTGGTGGGAGTACCTGAGCTCAGAGAGGAGGGGTGCAGGGGGCTGGGGCTGCCCAGGACATTCATGCGGTGGGTTCTTTTCTGTAAAAATAAAACATCACATTAAATGCACGATTCTATAGGTTGATTTCCTTCACTTTGAAGCTTTAGACCAGAGTCCACAACCTTTACAATTTATTTTAAATAGTTTAACAAAGAAAGATGTTACTTGAATTTAATAAATATCAACCAGAGGTTATTTGTCCTTTTTAAAGAATCACCACTTTAAATATCTGATTTTAAAATGAGATGAAATACAAGGAAAAAGGGAATAAATACATTTAAATGGGTTGATGAAACAGCTGCAGCTGTGAGCTAACCGCAGATTTCTCCTCCTTTGGTCTCAAAATTATGACCTCGGTTTCTTTTTTATCCAGTTGTAGAAAATGATTGTGCATCTACACATTAAACTGTTCTACATCAGACCTTTCAGATAATTAGAAGGTGAAAGTGCTTCATAGGATTCTTTCTGAGTTCAATGAGGAACCATTACAGGGAGAAAAGTTTGGCTGTTGATATTATGAAAAGTAGGAATAACCAGTGGTGGTTCTAGACTAAATTCACCAGGGGGGCCGGGGGTGGGGCCGTTGTTTTTAATGGGGATACAGAACCAAAATAATGAAAAACCTGGTTGTATCTTAATATGGTTGTAATCATGATATAATCATGTAATCATGATAATTTAAATAATTCTTGAATCAATGGATATAATCATATGACTTATTTAGTAAGACACAGCAAAAAGTCATCTAAAATGTAGAAACTTCCTAAAATGAGGTTAAAAAGTGGCTAAAAAAGATGATTGCCAAAGAAAATTGTATTTTTCCCTTAAAAATAAGATATATATATATAAAATGTTTGAAATAAGAAGATGGATTTTTTCTTTTAAAGTGAAATCATCTTATTACATTAGTAAATTGTCTTACCTACCCACTCAAATTGAGGCAAAATACACCCCTTTTTAAGAACATAGATTTATATTTCAATTTTTTGTAGTGTATGTTTCAAGTACAGGGGCCTTAAGAGGGGCCAGGATCAGTTCTCCAGGGGTGCTGGCCCCTGTTGGCCCCTGCCTAGAACCACCTATGGGAATATCTGTTGGAAGCACTCAGGAGGCAGATTTTGGTTTTAATTTGAAGAAATTAAGCATTTTCTTGTTTAATGAGAAACTTTGCCACTAAACTCCAACATATAAAACCTGTTAGCTGTATAACTTGCTTTTATTCTGGGCGCTCTACAGCTATCAGGGTTCAGCTGAGGGCCTTCTCTATACGATTCTATGACCGTAAACAGTCGTTTGAAGAAATCTCCCGTCAGCATTGTGCCGTGTTTGTTCTAAATTTCAAACATAACCCTGCACTGACTGCTTTCTCCAGCCAAACATGTTTATAAGCCATGTTTCTTTAATTGCTCATCACTAAACACTGGCCCAGGCCTGGCGCCAGCATGAAAACACTGAGTGATGCCTAATGGGGGGGCGGTTAGATTGGTGTGGAAGTTTACTCTCAACCAGAAGAAATCTCTTTCCCACAGGTTTTAAAATTAAATCTCACTTCATCCCCAAATTAAAGTCCTACTTAAAACATGAACCAGTTCTCATTCATTCATCAATATCTTGTCTTTGCTAATTATGACAAAGTATATCATTTATATCATGTCAGCCTACTTTTATACAT